CACGCCTCAGTGAACTGGTTGTTGTATCCCCCATGGACATTTGGGCATGCCATCCACTGCACAGGCCTCAGCAGCCAAGGGGACCCAGTTCTGACAAATGCGCTCCACCGTCAGACCACAGATCCTGTGATTTTTTTTTTTTTTTTTTTTTTTTTTTGCCATGCTTTGATTCCAGTGGTCCAGTTGGGGGCAGGGGGTTCCCCAAAGAAATCTTGCCAGAGGTGACCTCAGACCTGACTCCCGTGTGTGCCAGCCAGTGCGGGGTCTGGTTCAGCTCATCGCATACACTGATGGTTGCAGTTGGCTGGTCAGCTCTGTCCCCAACCACATCTCATACGCAAACTCTACTGGATGAGGCAGCCCATCCCATCCCTCTAGTTATTTTTTTTAATTATAAAAATTAATAGATTGATTTCTAACTTAAAAGTTGGTAAAAGATTTTCTCAATATTTGCATTCCTTCCTTGGGCTTTTGTTTTTAGTTAACTGTCTGGAATTTTGTGATTTTTAGACATTGAAGTGGCCTGTTATGGTTACGAAGGCATTGATGCTGTGAAAGAAGCCCTGCGAGCAGGTTTGAATTGTTCTACGGAAACCATGCCCATCAAAGTGAGTCCTCAGCTTGCTCCCTCCCTGATAAAATACCTGCTTAAACCAGTCAGATTCTTTTTTTGTTTTCTTCCTGTAGTCCCATTCCATAACGACAGCGATTGTCCTTGAAATTAGCTAGTGATTCTTGATGCTGTTTCTGGGGGAATCTTTCTCAGCTCTTCGTGTTACTGGTGTCAGTCCTCTTGCGAAAGCACCAATGACACCAAGCCAACTGCCGCAAAGGCATGCAGTACTCCAGATGCTCGTGACCTCACGAAGGTTAGCCTGCCTGTCGGCTATGCATATACAACCTCTGTGAAGTTTGTTCTGACTCTAAAAATAAACTGGATGGCTATTATTCTGAATTTTTAGAACAATCCCTTCTGTTGGTTTAGCTTGGAGATAAATTATCTATTGTGCTTATAATAACTAGTTATTAGTTATCCACTAATGACATGCCGAAGTCCCAGTTCTTCATCTTCACTGTAGTAGTGGACTGATACACTGCTGAACTGGGATGGCATTATCAGTTAACTTTTGCTACATTTACAAATGGTCTCAAGTTGTATGGCTGTAGGATTGGGAATTTGGGTGTAATTTGTTAATGCCACAGATTAATAAAGCAATTTTTAAATATCCTAATTGTTGTGCTTGTAGTTATCCTCATAATTGAATTTTATTTCTTCTTTAGATTAATCTAATAGCCCCTCCTCGGTATGTGATGACTACAACAACCCTGGAGAGAACAGAAGGCCTCTCCGTGCTGAATCAGGCCATGGCTGTGATCAAGGAGAAGATTGAGGAAAAGAGGGGGGTGTTTAATGTTCAGATGGAGGTGAGATCAATAACTCCATTTTTATTTTGTTCCAAAGTCTTTGTAGAATTTAAATCATCTTCATGATTTGCTTTCTGAAATACCATTCGCTCAGTCCCACCTGCATTTGCTATGGTAGAGCCGGACCAAATGATTTCCCAACTTTATCCCACACAGAACAAATACCCTGCATCCCTGCTGTATTGCAATGCCCATTCAAGTCCCAGCTGCTTGCTTCGAATTCAGCTCCCTGCTGATGGGAGGGATTTCTTTTTATTCATTTGAAAGACAGAGTTACAGAGACAGGAGTGAGCAAGAGAGAGATTCCATCTGATGGTGCAGCACCCAGGGCTGGGCCAAGCCCCAGCCAGGAGCTTCATCTTGGTCTCCCACCTAGTGGCCAGCAGCCCATACACTTTAGCCATCTTGCACTGATTTTTCCCAGGCCATTTGCAGGGATCTGGGTCAGAATGGAGCAACTGGGGCATAAACTGGCATCCACATCACACAAGGCATAGGATTTACCTGCTAGACTACCAACACCAGTCTCATAAATAAGCTTTTTTTTTTTTAAGGGATTTATTTTATTTTATTGTTGGAAAGTCATACATACAGAGAGAAGCAGAGACAGAGAGGAACATCTTCCATCCATTGATTTACTCCCCAGGCAGCCACAACAGCCAGAGCTGAGGTGAACCTCGGGTCTCCCATGCGGGTGCAGGGTCCCAAGGCTTTGGGCCGTCCTTGACTGCTTTCCCAGGCCACAAGCAGGGAGCTGGATGAGAAGCAGGGCCGCCAGGATTAGAACCGCCACTCATGGCATCCTGGCACATTCAAGGCGAGGACTTTTAACCATTAGGCTACCATGCTGGATTTGTCATGTCCCGTCTCCCCCCCCCCCCCCCCCCCCTTTTTTTTTTTTTTTTTTTTTTTCCTTTAGGCTGGTGCCGTGTAGGCTAATTCTGTGCCTGTGGTGCTAGCATCACATATGGGCACCGGTTCAAGTCCTGCCAGCTCATTTCCAATCCAGCTCCCTGCTGATGACCTGGGAAAGCAGCAGAAGTGACCCAAGTGCTTGAGCCCTTGGCATACACATGGAAGCTTCTGGTTCCTAGCTTCAGACTGGCCTCAGTCCAGCCAGTTGGCGAGTGACCCAGTGGGAGAAGATTGTCTCTGTTTCTCCTCTCTTTCTGTAAATGTGTTTTTCACACAAAGATTTATCAGTCTTTTTAAAAAGATTTGATCAGAAACATGTATAATCCTCTTTGTTTTCCTCTTCAAGAATGAAACCGTGTGTGTGTGTGTGTGTGTGTGTGTGTACACGCACAAGCAAGAGAGAGAGAGAGATCCCATAGAAGGGACTGGTGCTTGATTTACTGGCATCTGATATGTTTCTGCAACTCAGTTAGTTAGAGGCCAAAGGTTTTTTGTGTGAATAGATGTAACACCAGGCAGTGGTGTTATTGAAATTGTGTTTTTATATTCTACTTCACTTTGAACTTACGGATCTGTTTCTACAGCCCAAGGTGGTCACAGATACCGATGAAACTGAACTGGCAAGACAACTGGAGAGGTTGGAGAGAGAAAATGCGGAAGTCGATGGAGATGATGATGCCGAGGAGATGGAAGCCAAGGCTGAAGACTAGCTCTGTGGAGACAGCCAGCTCGAGAACACACGAGCCCTTCTTGGCTGGAACCCAAGACTTGAAAGTTTTCCAGTATTGAAAACTTCACAGCTGAATTTTTTATTTCCAAGTATTTAAATTTTTCAACATGCCAGAACATGAAATGCCCTCCTACATGCCTGCTGTTCTCACACAGTGCCTCCAACAAATTTAGCATTTTTAAGGAGTGGCCTAATTTCACTAGAGACAAACATTTCAGCTGAGAACCGTCCTAAAATTGGGCTTATACTTTCCACTTCTGATGTCTCCAAATCAGCACCCTTTGTCCCTCAGTGCCTCCATGTAATTATTGGGGGAATTGAGAACAAACAATAACAATTCCAGTCTTTCTATATAAAATGTATTCAAGCAAACGTGAAATAAATTTCTGGGATATTTAACTGTAGAGTTCTTCCTTCGTGTCACCAGTGCTGAGCATTCTGAATGCTAGAACCCTAATTCTGTTATCTTCAATTTCGTCTAAACATGAGCATAGAAGGACAGGTGGACAATGGAGCTATAATGGCAGATCCTTTCAAAAGGAGAGTTTGTAGAAAATAACCTTTAACTGCAGTGAAAGTTGACCTTTAGGGGGAAGCAACCTACAAGGCAATTAAAGAAGTAACATTGGGTGTGTGCCTTTTACCTATTTGAACCTGATGACAACCTGTTGTATTAGAGAATATCATATTAGGTCCTTGGCATACCAGGCTCTACCTTGAGTGTGTGACTCAGGATATAAAATATGTTCTGCCTTCCTAAAAACAAAATGCTTTTTGGGGTATCACAAATATTGATGGACCACCTCCCCATTAAAAAAAACGGCTGGATGCTACCTCAGGTCTGTATTTTATTAACAGACCAGTGATGTTTTTGAACACAGGGCAACTTTTTCTATTGCTATTGTTTTTAAGAACTGACTGGGTTAATTGGGGATGGGAAGGTCGAGGCTTGGGCCTTGTAAGGCACATGAGATAATTTGGTCTGGTCCTGCTTAGGCAGCCACAGACAGGACTTGAAATTCAATCAATTCAATCTGTAACAAGCTCATTTTTAAAATAACATTTGTTTGTGGACCCAGCACAATGGCTCCCATCCAGCTCCCTGCTTGCGGCCTGGGAAAGCAGTCAAGGATGACAAAGTCTTGGGACATTGCACCCGCGTGGGAGGCCTCAAAAAGTCTTCTGACTCCTGGCTTCAGATTGGCTCAGCTCTAGCCATAGCAGCGGCCTGGGGAGTGAATCAACAGACAACAGATCTTCCTCTCTGCATATTTGACTTTCCAATTAAAAAAAAAAAAGACGAAGGTGTTTACTGATGTATTTAAAATGCCATTAGAAGGCCCAGCACTGTAGCCTAGTGGCTAAATCCTCACCTTGCACACATAATGATCCCATATGGGTATTGATTCATGTCCCAGTGGCTCCACTTCCCATCCAGCTCCCTGCTTGTGCCCTGGGAAAGCAGTCAGGGACGGCTCAAAGCTTTGGGACCTTGTGCCCATGTGGGAGACCCGGAAGAAGCTCGTGGCTTTGTATCAGCTCAGTCGCAGCCATTGCCACCACTTGGGGAAGATCTTCCTCTCTGTGTGTCTGACTTTCCAATAAAAATAAATAAATCTTTGAAGAAAAAAAGAAAGGTGGCACTAGGGATGTCTGTATCTGATATCGCAGTGCTCAGGTTTGTGGCCGGGCTCTGTCCCCGATTCTGGCTCCTGGAGGGCAGTGTGTGAGGACTCACGTTGAGTTCCTGCCACGTGTCGGTGTGTATGTGGGGAGCGAATGAGCAGATGTCAACTCTACCTCTGCCTTTGATTTTTTTTTTTTTTTAACTGTTGAAAGATCACTTGAAATGTTTTCGTAACCAACTTGAACAACAGAATCGAAGGTGGGAAACCTCTGAGAACTGTAAAACTTTGTGCAGGAATTCTAGTAACCAAAAGTGTCAGTTTTTTATTCATTGTAAATAGTGAAGTCGTTGACACTATGTCAGAGAAAGCCGCATGAGACTATTACCTAAGGCACAGCACGGCCAGTGTTCAGTGTCCAACAAAGGAACCCGGGGCATGGCCGTTGGGGGTGGGCCGAAGCCCAGCGTCTCACACCTGCAGCCTGGCCTCGCCTTTCCACGTGGCTTGGCTTCTGAAGATAGGGAAGACGGTAGAAGCACTGCCGTGTGTGATCCAAGGAGGCTCTTCAACACTCCTAAGCAGTTTGAAATGTTTCCCTCGCAAGTCCCGGCACACGCCCATTCTCCAGGAAGTTCGTCCGGTCGCGTGGGAGGAGTCCTGGGTCTGTTCCACGGCTGGCTGTCATGTTAGCTTCTTGATGGCTTCAATCCATTCTGCCCGCTCGGCCTTGCTGCTGGCCTGGATGTAATAGTGTGTGTCATCCTTAGTAATCACTTTGAAGAGGTTGCCCTGGACGTTCCCTTTAACCCCTAGGCAGAGGGAGAAAAACAAAACTGGTTGATATCCTTGTCTACTTTCAGCTTAAGCTGGAGAACAGAACTAGTACAACGAACTATTTCTTAAATACAAACAGTATGCTTAGGGACATCTACCAGATAAATGCTTTCCTCTGTCACATTCAGGCCTGCCTGCCCTCTCAATGGCTGGCCCCAGTGCTAACCGTAACCTACAAGTTCATTTCCATCAAAGAATGCATGTGTTTATGTGAAAAGCAAGCACGGAATTTGAGGCTTGACTTCAAATTGTGACTTCCTTGAACCTCAGCTTCCGTATCTGTAAGATGGGACCAACACTGTCTTCCTTGCCATAGGTGGTGGTACGGTTTACAGGATGTAGGCCTCTCGCTCCCATACAAGCTCCTGCCACAGCAGCCACCATGGGGTCCTGCAGCCAGCCTTCACTGAGCCTCTGGACTCTGAATCTCCACAACTTTGAGCTACCCAGAGCTCTTCCTAAAGGTGTCTCCCTTGGGCCCTCCATGATGGTGATGAAAGCTAACGCAGCCGGCGACTGTGAAAGTACCAAATGTATTAAAGTATGATGTTAACCCTGCAGAACTGTGTGCGACTTGGCTGTTCTTTAGGTGTTAGTTGGCTGTTCCTTTTTAGGTGTTAGAGAAAAGAATATTGAAGACAAAGGAATGTTTAGTTGTATTCTGAATACATCAAGAACACCCCAATGCTCTTTTGTCTTACTCTGAAATCAGCTTCAAAAAAAAAAAAAATCGCACCACGGTTTGACAGGGCCCTACTCAGTTCCTGAAGGCCAGTCTTCCTTGAGTGGGGAATTACTGGGGTAAGGATGGACCTTCAAATCCAGGCTGGGGCCGCCAAAGTTGCACCTTACCAGTGGGAACACCGTTGTCCTCCAGAGCAGACACAAGTGAACCACGCAGGGAAAACCCACCCACTGGCCTGTTCTCTTCCTGCAGAGGAAGGGAGACCGGATTAGGAACTTGGCAAATATACCAAAGGGGCAAGACTGTGCATCCTTCTCACTCTATCCTTGGTCAGGCCAGCTAAAGAAGTCAGTGCAAGTCACTTGTGACAAGATGAAGCTGAACTTGGACGTTGCATGGCCCCGTGAGGAGGTCCACGCTGCTGCTTCACAGCCAGCAGTAACAGTGCCCACCAAGGCTGCTGTTACCACCAGCCTGGCTGAGTTAAAAACGCATCAGTCCATGGGCAGGCATTTGGCACAGGAAGGAAGACACCTGGTGGTCACCTGCAGCCCACATTGAAGCAATGTCTCGGTTCAGACTCCCAGGACACACCTTCGATTCTACCTTCCTGCCAATGCCCATCCTGGGAGACGGCAGCTGATGGCTCAAGTAGGGATCCCTGCCCCACATGTGGGAGGCCCGGATTAAGCTCCTGGCTCTTGGCTTCAGGTCAGCCCAGGCATGGCTGTCGCAGGCACTCGGTGAGTGGACTGGCAGAGGAAAGATTCATCTGCTTCTCTTTGCCTTTCAGAGAAAGTGAAAGAAAAGAAGCAGGCCCCAGGCTCTTTAACCCCTGTGTGCATCTTACCAATCAAAAGAGATGCTTAGGCAAGTCTTGATCTGCACTTGGCATGAAACATTGTGTAAAACAGAACTGTGCTTTGTGGTATGTCTGGGTGACTCAAAGCAATTGCAAGATACCAGGTAACTTGGGCCCCAGGAGCCCTTCAATTCATCAATAATCAACGTCCTAAGATGACAGCAAAAAGCAGAGCAGTACCACCACCGGAAAGGTTTGTGCTATGAAATGCCAAAGGAGAGACAGTTCCAAAGAGGAAGAGCCCTGCCCTGGCCAGCAGGGTTCAAGGGCCGCCTCGGGATGGAGACTTGCGCACAGAGAGAGCAAGCAGCCAAGGCAGGAGGAAGAGTGAGGGCCAGGGAACAAGCCGGTCCCAGAAGGCCTGCAGGGTGGTGGCGGCATGCCCAAGGCAGTGGCTTCATCAAGGGCACGAGGAAAGCGAGCTGGCTGGACACTGAGCGAAACCCAACATGGAAGTGTCCACTGCATCCCTTGTTTTCCTTCCTTAAGCTACAGGGGAGTTTGAACTCCGTCCTACAGGACCCACAGTGCTTTTTGGAGGCCATGGTGGTCAACCTCTTGGCCAGCCCTCCTCCTCTTTCACCTGCTCTTAGCTCACAGCAGGAGCTCCTGCCCGAAGCCTGAGGACAAGGGACTGCTTATTCCTCCCTCATTCAAAAACCAAATCGTACACTTACCAAGCCCAGGCTGAGCGGCCCACCCCAATGCCAATTTTTCCCTCTTATTTCGATGAACTCAGCCAGTACTTTAAACTTATTATCTGATTTCCAGGATAGTGAGCATTTGATGATGTCTTTTACAAGCAAAATGATTAGTGGATTATAGCTTGAATATTACAAGGGAAAAGAAGCTTCAGTAGCCACAACAGTCGGAGCTGAGCCAATCTGAAGCCAGGAGCCAGGAGTTTCTTCTGGATCTCCCATGTGGGTGCAGGGTCCCAAGGCTTTAGGCCATCCTCCATTGCTTTCCCCGGCCACAAGCAGGAAGCCAGATGGGAAGTAGAGCAGCCAGGACACAAACTGGCACCTGTATGAGATCCCAGCACCTGCACGGTAAGGAGTTAGCCATTAAGTCATCACGGCCAGACCTCGGGGTTGAATTCCTGGTCTGGCTGCTGCTAGCACAGACCGCTGGAGGCAGCAGTCACAAGCTAAGTGCCTGGATTCCTGCCCCATACGGTAGGCCTAGCTTATGTTCCTAGGACCTGGCTTCAGTGCTGGCCCAGCCCCAGGGGGAGCAAGTGTGGGGTGCAGAGTAAGGGGGCTGGTTTTTCTCTGCAAATCACGGCGAGCCCCTCCCACAGGGAGGAAGGAAACTGCAGGGAAGAGACCACCCACACCCCAAGAGTGACAGGAGGCCAGGCCAGGTGGCTGCCTGCTGTGCTGGGACCAGGGGACAGGCAGCACACACCTTGGACGGGTCGTAGTAATGCAGGAAAGCTGGCTCTTTCCTCAACACGAAGCGACGCACCTTCCAGTTCTTTCTCTTGTGCCCCTGCAGGATGGAAGTTCATTGCAGCGACTCCGTGTCCCTCCTTCCCATCTCCACGCAGCTAACGCCAGACCCCACCCAGGCAGCCTGCTCCAGTGCAAGCCTGAGCAGGGCAGGCATGCGTCCTGCACTTGGCTTTCACATCCTTCCCCGCGTCAGGACATTTCAACCAAAACAACGGCAAGCATGACCAATTATGACGTGTCCATTTGTACAGCTTTTAGTCTGAAAAAAACTTTAAGCTACATCAATATTAATAGTCCTTTTTGGGGGGAAGAGGGGAGAAGCCTCCACATTGTCAGAGCCCAGGGGAGTTGACACTGAGGGAAGGAGAACGCCTGACACTACCCATAAAGGAAGACAGACAACAGAGCAGCTCCCAGGCAAGGCAGGACCCACCAACACTGCAAGGAGCAGCACGGTCCAGGAACCAACCTACAGCAGCGTGTGCATGTACACATGTGCCTACGTTATGCGGTAACCCCCCCAAGATCAAGAAGCTACAAATTACACAGTAAAAACCTAAAGGTGCAAGCATGTGGCACAGTGGGCCACGCTTCTGCCGGTGATGCCGCTGTTTCATTTGAGTCCCGGCTGCTCTGCTTCTGAGCCAACTCCCCGTGTTAATGCACGTGGAAAAGCAGCAGAGGATAATCCAAGGACTCCCCCACTTGGTGACCCACACGGGTGACCCCCACATCCAGAGGCCTAGGACCCACAGCTACAAAACATCAAGCCAGCCACTGATCTCTGAAACACGTGCAAACGGGCAGTGGTGTAGAAATTGTTTGGTGTTTTGATAGCTTCTGGTGTGTGTGTGTGTGTGTGTGCACTTTTTCCAAAACAAGTGTCATGTCTGATCCACACACACGTGTATGAAAGAGGGTGAGCACAGGGACGTGTGCCCTGCTCTTGGACTCGCTGCCCGCAGTTGACACGGGACATCCGGCTGGTGGACAGTGCATCATGGCTGTCACCCACTGTCCCTCACCCTGGGGGTCCTTGCCCTCCCTGCTCGAAGACGGCCTCACCTGCTTGGCCAAATAGCCCTGTTTCACCACTTCTCCACTCAGCTCCACAGAGCTGAGACTGAGTTCTTCTTTGGAGCTTATCTTCTTGTAGCTCTCAGCCTGGTGGGAAGATGCCAGCAAGCGCTGTTACAAAAGCCTCAGGGGAAGAAGGGGAGGAAATTCCTCCAGACAGAAAGGGTCTTGGGGTGAAGCTGTTCCCCAGAACCCCGAGCCTCTCCCTAAAACTGTGGAGCCCTCAGCACCCTCTCCTCTGCCTCCCCACCTCCCCCGGTGCTAGGGTCAAGAGGGACCCGCTCCTTAACTCACGAAAGTGTACAGGGCCGTGGAGTCATCCAGAAACTGGTCCGTCAAATCCCCGGAGCGAGTGGCTCCCATGCTCCGGGCACCTACTGGCCGCAGGAAGTTCTCTTCCATGAGCATGGAGGCCAGGGTCACGGCCTCCAGACGGTTGGCGGCGAAGCTGTTGGAGATGAGCCAGTCGACCAGGGAGGAGCCTGTGGCAAAGCAAGCACAGCACCTGTGTGACCAGGGACGACTGAGCAGCCTCTTCCAGGCGCCAGAGCTCGCACCTCCCGAGCGGGCTGCCGGAGCTCTCCAAGAACAGACGCAAGGCCACACCTGTTGCCACTCAGCTGTGGTCATCCCAGGCCAGCCCACTGCCCAGCAGGCTACTCTGGCCTCCGGAGGAGCTGGCAAGCATGTGCCTGAGCAGGTGTCAAGTGGCCACTGGCCGGCCCAGGCCCTGGAAGAGGCAGGCTCACCTAGGAAGGTCTTTTTGTAGGTGCTTCCTTGCTCTGTGTTGGGGCTTGAGCGGATCCCGCTGCTGCTGTCATGCATCTTGTCCACGATGCGACTACACAAAAGGAAGGCAAAGGCGAGAGACCCTGCTCATCAACGGCGGGCACACGGGAGGGCCCCCTCAACACTGGCGGGCACACGGGAGGGCCCCCTCCTCAACACCAGCAGGCACAGAGGAGGGCCACTACCGAGGGTACAGTGTGACATCCAACGAAGGAGGCATCCCCTTAGCAGATTTTGAAAAGGTGGATTTTTAGATACTATTTTTCTTCTTCTTGATTCTCTAAATGTCCTGTGATTTCTGAATCAAACATACATTACTTTGGGACTAGGGCTGTTAACACGGCACATTAGGCTAAGCTTCAGCTTATAGTGGTGGCATCCTATAGGGATGCTGGTTTGAGTCCTGGCTGCCCCACTTCCAATCCAGCCACCTGATAATGGCCTGCGAAAGCAACAAAGGCTCAAGTGCTTGGGGCCCTGCACGCAGGTGGGAGACCCGAAAGAAGCTCCTGGCTTCTGACTTTGGATCGTCTCAGCTCTGCCTACTGTGGCCATTTGGGGAGTGAACCAGCAGATGAAAGATCTTTCCTTTGTCTCTCCTTCTCACTCTATTAATTCAATCTTCCAAATAAAAATAAATCTAGAAAAAAAGGAAAAGACTTGTGACTTTCACCTGAGAAACAGGAGCGGGCAACGGCGGGTCATTCTCCCTGAGTGATTACATCAAGGCCCCGCTCCTGCAGCTGTTCCTCAAAATCGCCATCTCAGTCCTCCACCGCTCCTTCCAACCCCCACACAGCTCAGCAGGCCCTGTACGCACCAGCTGCACAGCCACAGACTTCGTGCCAGGGCTGGAGTCGGGGTCGGCCAGGACCTCACTGACACCACGTCACTGAGAGGTGCCACAGTGCTCCTGCCCACAAGGTCAAGAGTGGTCTCCTGCAGACTAAAGGCCTTCCCTGATGGGCACTGCCTTCCCACGGCCTTCCCTTGCCAGATCACCTCCACCACGGCCCAGCTTTCCTTCTGCCCTGGGAGACAATTACTGCCACTGATAGAAGCCACTATCATTTCTTGTTCATGTCCTCAGTTGCCAAGCCCCTGGGATAAGACTTTGCTTATTCGCATTTGCATCTGCCGAGCACCCAGAATAGTGCATGGCATGCAGCAGGCACTCAATACTGACTTGCTGAATGAATGAGGAGCCCCAGCCAGCCAGAAGCAACCAGTGACGTGATTGATGGAGAGTCCTGGGAGGCTGTGACGTGGCTCTGACCACCCTGGCTGAATGAAAATGGGGTGTCTGCCTTATTCACTAACAAGGAGAGAAATCAAAAGGAAAAGCTGGTGCTGTGGTACAGTGAGCAAAGCCACCACCTGCAACACTGACATCCCATATAGGGTGCTGGTTCGAGTCCCAGTTGCTTCATTTCCTGCTAACGGACCTGGGAGAACAGCAGAAGATGGCTCAAGTGCTTGGCCCCCTGCCACCAATGTAGGAGACTTGGGTGGAACTCTTGGTTCCTGGTTTTGGCCTGGCCCAGCCCCAGCCATTGTGGCCATTTCAGGAATTGAGCCAGCAAATGGATGATCTCTCTTTGTAACTCTACCTTTCAAACAATTTTTTTTTTTTTAAGATTTATTTTGTTTGAAAGTCCAAGTTACAAGGAGAAACAGAAGGGGAGAAACAGAGAAATCACCCATCTGCTGGATCATTCCTCAAATGGTCACAATGGCCCAAGCTGGGTAGGTCTGAAGCTGGGAGTCAGGAGCAACTTCCAGGTCTCCCACGTGGGTGCTGAGGCCCATCCTTCACTGCTTTCCCAGGCCGTGAGCAGGGAGCTGGATGTGTAATGGAACAGCCAGGATCAAACCAGTGCCCATATGGGTTACAGGAACTACAAGTGGAGGACTAGCCTCTAAGCCAATGCATCTTTAAAAGATACATCTTTTAAAAATAAAAATTGAAAAAAAAAAAAAGCTAAGAAGTTACACAGATGCATAGGGTGAGGATCCCTGGCCACTTTCAGGTAGAGAAAAATACAATGGAAATCATTCAACAAGACAGGGACGGCTGAGGATCTGGGGTAGCAATCAGAGCCCATGGCAGAGCCTGGGCTTCCTCCCTCCACCCACAAACAGGAGGGGTTCCAGCAAGGCAGGGCAACGGGGCAGGGCACTCACTGCAGGCTGATGTGAGGGGGCAGCTTGAAGGAGTTCTGCAGGATATGGAGCTGCTGGACCTTCCCCGGCTGCCCTGCGTGAATAGCCCCTGTTATCTCAAAGGCCCAGGCATCCCTCTCCTCCCGAGAACATGCTTCCAGGAAGTACTCGGTGGCTGTCCGCGTCTTCAGCTTAATGAGGAGCTGCAGGAAGAGGCAGAGTGCTGAAAAAAATGCCACACTGGCCATGGCAATTCGAGGAGTCGATGGGAGTCCACTGACTGCCTGGGGCCCCAGACCCTTGCTCACACTCAAGCAGGTGGTTGTCGAAAGATTCCCTTGGTAGGGGCAGCGCTGATTACACAGTGGGTTAAGCCACCATGTGTGACACTGGTATCCTAGATCAGGGTGCTGGTTCAAGTCCTGACCGTTCCACTTAAATCCAGTTTCCTGCCAATGTGCCAGGAAAAGCAGCAGAGGATGACCGAGGGCTGGGGCCCCTGCCACCCACGTGGGAGACGAGGACGGCGTTCCTGTCCGCTGGCTTTGACCTGGCCTAGACCCGGCTGGTGAAGTCTTCTGGAGGAGTGAACCAGCAGACAGAAGGGCTCTTTGCCTTTCTTTACCTCTCTCCTTTTTCTCCCTCTTCCTCTGTCACACTGCATCTCAAATAAACATTTTAAATTATGCATTTATTTTGACTTTATGTTAAAATCAGAGAGAGCGAGAGAGAGACGCCCGAGTTTGGCTCTTTCCCCAAATGCCTGCAACAGCTGGGGCAGCTGAAGCCATTGCTCTAGAACTCAACCTGAGCCCACGCAGACGACAGACGCCCAGCGACTTGCACCATCATTTGCTGTCTCCTAGGATACACATTAACAGAAGCTGAACTGTAAATGGAGTAGCTGGGACTCAAACCAGCCACTTGGGCCTGTACAGTGGCTCCTCAGGATAATCCTCTGCCTGCAAGTGCTGGGATCCCATACGGGCTCTAGTTCGTGTCCCAGCTGTTCCACTGCCCATCCAGCTCTCTGCTTATGGCCTGCAAAAACAGCAGAAAATGGCTTAAGTCCTTGGGACCCTGCACCCACGTGGAAGACCTGGAGGAGGCTCCAGCTCCTGGTTTCTGATCAGATCAGCTTCAGCCATCGCAGCCATCTGGGGAGTCGACCAGCAGATAGGTCTTCCTGTCTCTCCTTTTCGTTGTAAATCTGCCTTTCCAGTAAAAATAAATAAATCCTTAAACCAGAGACTCTAACACGGATGTGAATATACCAAGAGGTGACTTAATCACTATGCCAAACACCTACTCCTATTAATTTTGTTTTAAAGATTTTTATTTAGGGTTGATGTTGTGGCATTGTGGGTAAAGCCACTCCCTGCAATGACAGCATCTTGTATGGGAGCCAGTTTGAGTCACCTCTGCTCCACTTCAGATCCAGCTCCCTGGAAATGCAGCTGGGAAATCAGCAGAAGGTGGCCAGTACTCATGGGAGCTCTGAAAGAAGCTTCTGGTTCCTGGCTTCACCCTGTTCTAGTTTCGGCTGTTGTAGCCATTCAGGTAGTGAATTGGCAGTTGGAAAATATTCTCTCTCTGATTCTGCCTTTCAAGTTAAAAAAAAAAAAGAACAAACAAACAAAACCAACTAATCCAATCTAATCACTTTCCAAAGCCCAGCCTTTAGCCAATATAAGTAGTGTCCTAGCAGCTCCATTTCCCATCCAGTTCCCTGCTTGTAGCCTGGGAAAGCAGTATAGGACAGCCCAAAGCCTTGGGACCCTGCACCCGTGTGGGATACCCGGAAGAAGTTCCTGGATCCTGGCTTTGAATCGGCATAGCATCAGCCGTTGTGCTCACTTGGGGAGCGAATCATCGGACGGAGGATCTTCCTCTCTGTTTTTCCTCCCCTCTGTATATCTGACTTTCCATTAAAAATAAAAAATAAATCTTTATTTTAAAAAGATTTATTAATTTATATTAGAAAGGCAGATTTACAGAGAGCAACAGAGATACAGAGAGAAAGATTTTTCATCTGCTGGTTCACTCTCTAAGTGGCCACTACAGCCAGAGCTGAGCCAGTCCAAAGCCAGGAGCCAGTAGCTTCTTCCAGGTCTCCCACATGGGTGCAGGGTCCCAGGCTGTGGGTCATCCTCTACTGCTATACCAGGCCACCGGCAGGGAATTAAATGGAAGTGGAACAGCGGGGACACAAACCAGCACCCATACCGGATCCCGGTACTTGCAAGGTGAGGATTTAGCCACTGAACTATTGTGCCGGTCCCAATCCCTACACTCTTCTAATGGTAAAGTTGCAGCTCTCTCCACTTCTGGAACATGTATTCCTAGGTGAATAAAAACCATCAACCTGAGCACCAACCAAGCAGCAACAACTCACTCGAATGTAGTGACTGCTTCCTCATCTACAAGTGTTTCCACACACCACTGCTTTCAGGATCCTCATAAGCATGTGGAACATCCAGTGCAATTATCTCATCACACTGTTTTTTCTAAAAATATATATATATATATTTAATGTAAATGCAGATTTACAGAGAGAAGGAGAGACAGAAAGATCTTTCATCCACTGTTCACTCCTAGTGTGGCTGCAACCACCAGAGAGCTGAGCTGATCTGAAGCCAGGAGCCAGGAGCTCCCCGTGGGTCTCCCACACAGTTGCAGGTGGAGGTTTTGGGCCATCTTCCTCTGCTGTCTTCCCATGCCACAAGAAGGGAGCTAGATGGAAAGTGGAGCAGCCAGGACACCAACCAGTGCCCATATGGGATGCTGACACTTGCAGGCGGAAGAATAGCCAGCTGAGCCCCTACCTCATCCCACTTTTTCAAATAAACAACAAAGACTCCATACCTGGCACAAGGGGAAGCCAGGATTTGAGTCCCAGTTTCCAATAATAACCCTCAAAAATTCCAATTCCTCACACCATCTCCCCCAAAGCAGCTCGAGTTGTGTGGGGCAAGGAGGAGCTGGGCAGGAGGGGCTCTCACTTACAGGACGATTTTCATAGTCCAGACAGGGACAGGTGATGGTGCAGCCGTCCAGGAGGATCCGGCCCTTGGGAGGGGTCACTCTCCGACCCCCCTCCAGCTTGTAATAGAGCAGCGTGTTCTGGCGGAGGATGAACCAGCGAGCCTTCCAGTTGTGGACGATGTGGCCCTAGAGACAGGCAGGAGGCGGTTGAGGGCACAAGAGCACATTGACCCCGCAAGTGAACACACTTTCCCGCAGGGCAAGAGCCGCTTTCGCGTCTGGATTTCATGCTGAAGCAAAGACCTTTGGCTTTGACTTTCTAGCTCCTATCTGGCTTAAAAAACCTTCAAAGACACGACAAAACACAAACAAGAAGGGGGGAAAAAATCACTTACCTGTAAAGCCAGCAGCAAGTTTTTTCTAGTTCTCAGTTTTTATTTTTAAAAGATTTATTTTTTGCAGCTGCTTGGTCAGTATAGTAGGTTAATAATCCACCTGCAGCATGAGCATCTCAGATGGGTGCCGGTTCAAGTCCCAGATGCTCCATTTCTGATCCTGCTCCCTGCTAATGGCCTGGGAGAGCAGCCATTATGATAATCCAGGCCACTGCCACTCACATGGAGTAGTTGCAAGCTCCGGGCATTGAAGCCTGGCCAAACCCCTGGGTTTGGGGTCATCTGGGGAGTGAACCTGAGGATGGAAGATTTCCTTGTGTCTTTTCTGTAAATCTGCCTTTGCACTAAAAAGAAAGAAAGTAAAGAAAGAAGAAGGAAGGAAGGAGGGAAGGAAGGAAGGAAGGAAGGAAGGAAGGAAAGAAGGAAGGAAGGAAGGAAGGAAAGAAGGAAGGGGTCTAGCAGGCTCAGGTTAAGGCTAGCTCCTCACTAACGGAGTTTCCTCTGAATCAGACACTGCTCTGTTTCATCTCCTTCCCAGGACTTGTTGCTACCACAGGCCCCTGCTGTTGCTCCCATCCGCTGTGGATTCTCCCCCAGCTCAACACACAACAGAGAGCTGTGAGGGAAGCAAAGGCTGCCAAAAGAACTCCTGCACGGAAGCTATTTATATGCAAACACACCTCGTCAGCACTGACTTGTCTGCAAACGGAAGTTCCTATGGCAACCAAATAAAATTTATAGCAGAACCAGTGTTTAGCCTAGGGGTGAAGAGGCCCCTGACCCCTATCCCAGTGCCTAAGTTCAATGTCCCATTCCAACTCCTGGTCCAACTTCTTTCAAATGTACTGCAGCAATGTACAGCAGCAATGATGGCCCAAGTCGTTGCGCCCTTGTCACCCACACGGAAGCCCTGGTTCCTGACCTGGCTTTCAGCCTGAACCCTGCAGGCATTTGGCGAGTGAGCCCGAACATGGGACAGCACCCACTTTCTCAAAAAACCAAATTTAACGTCTAAAAAATTTTTAAGAAAAATAAACATAAAACTGAGCTCATCTGAGAGTTTACTAAACATGCCTCAGCTTCATTCATGAACAAGCAGTTCACGTGAAAGAACTCATGCTATCCACCTGAATTTTACGTTTTTTTGCTTTCTTCATTTTGTTCCTTACTTAGAATCTGAATGTGGCCTGAAGAGCGACAATTTTACTGACACAGGAAAACCAAAAGAAACAAACCAAAAAACTAGCGTCTTAGCCCGCAGTTATTGAGGTTCGCGTCTATTCTTCCCTTAGCCCTGTCTCAGCTGCCCACAGAGCAGGCCCCAGGGCAGCACCAGCAGGACTCGCCTGAGCATCAGGGTGGAACTGAAGAACTGAAGGCTGTCACTGCTCGTGCCTCCGTAAGGGAGAAGAGAATGAAACCCAAATCGACTGTCCGAGACTGGTGCAAGGTGCAGAGGTGAAACCTCCAAACGCAGGTGTTTGAGCAGGTGTCCAGAGAGGCAGTGAAGATGCCTGCGTCTCGCATTGGAGTACTTGGGTTTGGGGTCCTGACTGCACCTTGCCTCCCTGCCCTGTGCAGACCTGAGAGGCAGGGGTAACAGCTCAAACCTGGATAGAACTGCCAGCTCCTGACTCCAGTGTGACCCAGTCCTGGGCCATGAAGGACATTTTGGGAATGAACCAACAGATGGTTCATTCTATCTCTCTTTCCCTGTCTCTCAAAAACAAAACAAAAACAAGAAGCCAAGGCACAAAACAAAAAACACAACAATCAAAGGTGTCAGATGAATTCTGTGCCTCCAAAATAAACAGGCCCAACCCCAGAACCTCAGAATGTGACCATCACCAAATTTAGCGATGCGGTCTTTCAAGGGGTGATTAAGATAGCCCAGTAGGAAGGGCCCAAATGCAATTTGATGGATGACCTTATAAGGAGAGAAAATGTGGACAGGCAGAGAAACACCAGCAGGGCCTGAGCATGAAGGAAGGTCACCTGCAAGACAAAAAGAAGGACCTCCAGAGAAGCCCTAAACAGGAGCTGGGCATGGCAGACTAACAGACTAATCCTCCACCTAGCCATGCCCTCATACCACATGGGCATCGACTCGTGTCCTGGCTGCTCCACTTCCCATCCAGTTTAAGGACTGGGAAAGCAGTGAAGGATGACCCAAAGCCTTGGGACCCTGCAACCATGTGGGAGACCAGGAAGAAGCTTCAGACTGTCCCAGCTCTGGCCATTGTGGCCATTTGGGGAGTAAACCAGCAGATGGAAGACCTCTCTCTGTCTCTCTCTGTAAAATCTGACTTCCAATTAAAAATAAATAGATCTTAAAAAGAAGAAGAAGTCGTCAAACCTGCCTATACTTTGGCTTTTTTGAACTTGCAGTCTGCAGAACTCTGTTGTTTAAGCCACCCAGTCTGCGACATTAGCAGCTGGATATGTAAGGGGGTGTTGAGCAGAACACAACAAAGGTAGAGATGTTGTAACGAATAGATATAACCTGACATATCCCAGAATTCCTTACACTTAAGGATCAAACATGTGACCACACGCATCACGCTTCTGCCATCCCATTCCTGGTGCAATAGCACACACTTTACAGCAACCAAACATGGGGAAACTGACGTTTTTGGCAAGGGCAGTAGCAGAACAGGTTCTTCCGACAGCCAGTTCTAGAGTTTCCAAGGACAAATGGCAAACAGTGTGAATCATACTCCAGAAGGGGCTTCCAATGGAAACAGCATCAACTTGGTACCACTGGGCACTTCTATCTGCATCACTGTTGACCACCTAGCATCCTAGTCCAATTCACTGACCTCTCCAATATTCCCAAATTATTTAATATGCTCCATGAAATCCCACTGTTCAAAGCTGCTAGAAAAGAACAGTGTCAGGAGCAACCATGCTCACGGCAGCCCAGAAGAGAAGGAGTAGCAAGAAGGCATGAGTCAGAACATTGAGAAAAGCTGGTGATCTTCATGAAAATGCTCAAATCTTTCGACCCCAACAATTCCACTTCAGAAAAGGGTTTAGGCATTGAGACTGTTATAGCAGCATTGTTTATAATCATGACACACACACAAAAAAAGGAAAACAATCTAAACATGCATGTATTTCAAAAAGCTCATGGAAAATGGCATTAAAGATGTTTTGATGGAGGCAAAAAAAAAATTTGAAATCAATGCATGGCTTTTTTCATCATGTACAATTCCCATGAACTTTTAAAAAAGCTCCTCATGTGCATGAACTTCAGCTTCCTTTCCCACCAAAATGCGCATCTTATAATTCCACTTTCCAAGAGCATTTTGAAACTCTTTTATATAATAACCCAGATCCTGGCATGGCTACAGTGGGGGGATAGGGGGAAAGGATTCCAGTCCTAAAGAACGGCAGGCCCTATCAACACCTTGATTTTGGATTTCCAACCTCTAGAAGCCCTTTGTGCTTCGATGCCTATTTTTCTTTCCTCATATCATTTACCTTTTGAATCTTTGCGTTTTATAACTATAAGCAGTTTTAACATGTGTGTCACCATAAACTACTTAGTCACCCTTTTATATGGGAGTACACATAGGTACTTTCCAGTCGTTTTTTTCATTCATAAATAATGCTGTGTTCAGGAAGCTGTACACTGTTTCCTTAGACCAGAGTCCTGCAACTTCACGAGAAATGTGGATGATGAAAACAACTGGGTATGAAGTTCAAAACTCCTAGGCTGGAGTGACCATCGCCAAGGTGTTCAAGAGCAACGCCTGAAGTGCTACTGCCTGAAGAGAGCAAGAGTGAGAGAACGACAGAGAGAATGTATATGAAAGTTTCCATCTGCTGGTTCAGTCCCCACATACCATCACCAGGGGGGAACCAGGAGCCAGGTATTCAATTCAGGGGTCCGATATGGGCGGCAGGAACTATTCCTTGGGCCATCGCTACTGCCTCCCAGCAGCAGCAGGAAGCTGGAGCCCAGAGCTGAAGCTGGGTACCAAGCCCAGGCCCTCTGGTGGGAGAATGCAGGCCTTGACCACTGGCCACTGTCTGCTCCATCCTGCCCCCGTTGCTTCCTAGCCCAGACTCTCCAGTGGGGGGACGCAGGCCTTCACCACTGGCCCACTGCCTGCTCCATCCCCCTGCTTCCTAGCAAATTGGCATTCCTAGCCACAGCAGAGGCACACCTCCATGTCTCCTTGCTCTCCAGAGAGCCAGGCCCCCTGAGTTCCCTGCATTTTGCCTGCAGTTTGCTTTGTTCTTGTCTGGGCGGGTTTCAGAGCCAAATCTGTTGTGCCCCTGCCTGTCTGTCTCCAGCTTTGCCCAGGCAGGTGATTTCTTGTCATCACTGTGGCCTCCTGGGTGAGCCCTGTGGCACCTTGGGGCTCTAAGACCTCCTAAATTTAGGCAACCCACTGTCACAAGCCTGTGCCTTTTCCAGTGCACACGGGGGGGGGGGGGGGGGGGGAGGCGGCTCGCTGTCTCGCAGGAGAAAGTGAAAAGGGGGATGGAAGAGAAAAAGGCCTGAGGGGATAACTGGGTAGGGACCTCACTGTCTGGGAACTGGGGCCACTCCCTTACCTGAAGGAGGGGGCGTGGCTTCTGCTAGCTTCAGTCTGCCTCCAAATCACAGCCTCAGGGTTGGCTGGAATGAGCTTTACGGGTTTCAGTTCCACTTTGGGGGCCAGACCTGTTTGAGCCTCTTCGCTTTTCTGCATCCTCAATTTCCTGATCAGACCATCCTGGGAAACCCTATAGCTTAAGCCCTCCTCCAATGAGGCAAGGTGGAGGTCCCCTTGCAAGGTGGTGGGAATCAATATAAGGACAGTCCTCGCCCCCCAAACCAGGACCCAGCTACAAACACTCCAACCCACCCACCGCTGCCCACGTCACACACTCTGCATCCCTTACAAGCAGCGTAAAGGAGGGGACGACAGAAAGTACCACAAGTGGTTTCTCCAAGACACAGTCACCTGCATACCCTGTGTGACACCTGCCAATCCTGGGGGGCACAGAGTCGGTGTGAGCTGTGGCCTGCCTGTGTCCATTATGACCTTGGATATGGCCTCAGCCTCCCTGCACACAGTTTTGAGCAGATAACCCACGCACCCTCCAGCATCAAATAATGTGCGAGCAAACACTGATGTGTTTTGGAGGCAAGCAGGTCTGAGTCTTCGAGGCCAAAGGCTGGGGGAGCGGGCGGGGAGACTGGGTGGGGAGGGGGAAACTGCCAACCAGGGAAGGGCAGGGAAGGGAAAGCCCCTTCCTCTGTCATCCTCCCCTGCCCAGAGCTGGAAACACTGAAAGAAAGTCCTCGGGTTTGTCCCCTAGCCTTCGAAAACCTCACACTCCACTTTACGCAAATATAAATGTTTAGTGTTAAGCATCAAATCTACCTGTAGAATACAAAACTTCCCCTTCCAGCCACTCTTTCAGTTTCCTGACCCCAGGCATTGCCTGCTGTTTGACCTGCTGCATGCAGTGACCGGGAGGGGCTATGGACAGAGGGTCAGAACAGGGGTTCTAGTCCCAGCTGCGACTCCTCTGGGCCCACAAATGCAGTGTTCTTCATCTGTAAGAGCATGACAGCACTACCCACCACGCACAGCTCTGGGCAGACAGGAAAGGGTCTGGGGGTCCATGGGAGTAGGCTGGGCCTTGACCACAGCACCCACCCACTCCCACCTGTGTACCATCCTCTTCCAGCTTTTGTTTTTTGCTTGGTGGAAGTGGTTAGTGTTGGTGGTACAGAAGAGGATTCAAGCAGCCAAGTGCATTCCAGGTGGTTGTAAACCATGCAGCAAATCTATGTCAGTTTCACAAATTATATTTAAATATACTATTCATCATAGTTCAACAAGCTACTTCAGTTAAGTCGCCTTTTGCGTCCAAAGTGCACTAAACAGGCGGGGCGCTCACCGTTGCTTGCGCGTGGCCTCGGTTCTCCTATCTTAAAAAGTTTTCTCCGAAGTCCATTTTCCACCCTCCCCATTGTTCCCGCAGCCAGGCCCGGTCCCTTGCAGCCTGATCCCATTCTCCCATTAGGGAACGGGGCCACCCGGGCACGGCTGTCCCAAAGCTCCCGTAGGCCAAGGTCCCCAGGCTCCTAGGCTCTGGTGCGCACTCACCCTCTTGACCAGGAAGCCCTCCTTGAGCACGCCGTCCTCCATGTCGCCGGGGCCGGCCCAGGTGCGCTGTCCCGGCTTCTCGCGCTCCGCCGGCGGGCGCCCGCGCAACCCGCGCGCAGGAAGCGGCTCCGACGCGGCTGGGGCGACGCCTCCCTGGCTCGGGGCCAGCGCCAGTGGCCGCGGGGCCTCCCGGGCAGGAAGTCAAGCTGGGTCTGGAATTTTGAAGTTTCCACCTGCAGGTACTTCGGGAGTCCCGCGGTTTGCCCTTAAGGTTAGAACCTGCCAGCCCCGCCCGGACTGGGCGCCCCATCCAAGTGCACGCTGCGCCTCTTCCTCTTGTAGCTTGCTTTCCCCCAGACCTTTGCCAGGCGCTTTGCCTGACATTTGGCTTCCTTGATGAACGTGCATCGAAAGAATTGGAGCTCAAAGGACTTGAAGGATTTGGAAGCTTCCTAAGGGTGGGCCCAGGCTGGGAACCTTCTTTCCGGCCTCTGCTGAGGGAGGAGCAGGGTTCCTCGCCCTAAGGACTTAGGTTTCACGGGGACAGGCCCAGTCTCTGCCCCAGAAATACCCTTCCCAAGAACCTAAAGCTCTAGAGTCCATCGGTAAGAGCCAAATTTAAAGGAGTGCCAAGGCACTTATTTATCTAGGTAAATACTTTTTTTTTTTAAGATTTACCTTTGATGGGAAGTCAGAATTACAGAGAGAAGAAAAAGATCTTGCATCTGCAGGTTCACTCCCCAAGTAGCCACAATAGCCAGCGCTGAGCCCATCTGAAGCCAGGAGCCAGGAGCTTCTTCCGGGTCTCCCACACGGGCACAGGGTTCCAAGGCTTTGGGTCGTGCTCTACTGCTTTCCCAGACGCAGGGAGCTGGATGGGAAGTGGAGCAACTGGGACAGGAACCGGTGCTCCCATGGAATCTCAGCGCTTGCAAGGGGAGGATTAACCAATGGAACCATCATGCCGGGCCCTAGGTAAATAATATTTCAATGCAATACTTTGTAAAGTGAAAATGCCTCCATATTTGGAAGGTGGGTAGGATCCGTCACAGTGTGCTGTAACAGTGTGATCCATTGAATCACAAGGGTCAGTAGACCTGGTCCAGGCGGGTTGCCCTTAGGCCACAGTCCTCATAGTGGTTATCTGCATTGTGCTTCAGGGGTGGAAGAAGGGTCCTAGGCTCTGGGCAAGCCAGGGCACCTTTCACAATCTCTCTAATAGGAGATTCTCCCCCCATCTCGAGTGCCTGCCCTGGAGTGATAACCACATGGCTGAACCTGCGTAGATGTTGCAGGTATACACCCAGCTCCCCAAGAAAACCCAGCCGAGTCCGTGGCCCTGTGCTGCCTGGGTGAAGGCTGATGGACTTTCAGATCTGCCAGCAAGTTCAAAAGCAAGGGGGCTCGCATTCCGTTTCAGAATGGACCTCGAGCAATTCAGCACCTTCCGCAGCCAGGCCACAGTTCTCCAGCTTGCCCAGGGACACACAGTACCAGGGCACTGAATAGGCACTTGCTTTGCAAGAAAGTGCCCCAGCTCTGAAGCGGGGCCAGGGAGCACCTGGGAGGTGGGGCTGGACATGTCTCACCCTCTGCGGTCTGTTGTCCCTCACAGAGTTGTCTTGGCTCTCCAGCGGCTGCAACGTCTGAGGCTTCGAAGGCACGGTGTTTTCTTGCACAAGAGGAATTCATGAGTGGGAAAGGGAGAAAAATGGGGGGTTCTGTTGCCAGGCAGTGCCCCTGCCCAGGGCAACTTCCAGTGCTGGAGAAACCCCTGGGGGGCAGCCCACCTGTCTGACTCATGACCTGAGGCGTGAGTCACATCCCTTACTTCCCAGGCCGTGGTGACTGAACCACCAGCCACCAGGAAACCACTCTGACATCAGCCCTGTTCAGCCACAGGGAAGCCCATGGAGACAGAGGAAGCAGGCAGCAGGGAACAGCTGCGGGGTGAGGAGGACAGGGGCCAGGGAAGGAAGCTCCACACCCAAAGTCTGGCCTTCCTCCTCCAAGCAGACACATCTTCCTCTCCCTCCTGGGGCTGCAGGATGGTGGCACAGGGACACTGACCCTTAGAGGTCTTTGTCACCACGGGCCAGATCACGCCCAGAGTTGTATGTGACAGCTGTTAGGCTAGTGTTTAGGTGTGGGTGATTCACCGTCTGATGTGAGATTCCACCATTAGAGAGCGGTTCCTTTAGCTTTCTCTGTGTCAGAGTCCTGTGATTCAGAGCTGTATAGTGAGCACAGGGTATCACAGTACAATCCCCAATGTATTTACCCGAATCTCTGAATCTCATCTTTAAAAATCCTTTAATCAGACACTTCATGTTATAGGGGAAGATGCCCCAGGCCCAGAGAAATGACACAACATCTTCACGGTCCTGCAGCCAGGCAGTGGCTAAGCTAGGCTCGGATACCTTGGATACAGAGCTGTCTACAGCAAGGCTGGCTCCTGGCGAACGCGGGCATGACATGTGTCAGAGCATTGGGCGTGAGAGGGTGGCTACGCGGGCTGCAAAGGGTCCATCTGCAATAGGAAAATGTTCCTCTGAGTGCTTATGACTGTGAAAATGAATTTGTGTGCCTTGGAGAGCATAAAAAATACCAAAAAGGATAAAACCACTCAAATCCTATCACTCAAATAGATGACTAATATTTTAATTTTTGGAGATCAGTAGGGAGGTGGAGTCAGGAATTGAACCCAAGTATCCTGACGTGGGACCCAGGAGTTGTTACTGGTGTCATAACCACTGAGCCTAATATTTTGATTTTTAAAAATAAAACTTTTTCATATTTTTTAAAGATTTATTTATTGCTATTGGAAAGGCAGATATACAGAGAGGAAAATCTTCTGTTCAATGATTCACTCCCCAAGTGGCCGCAGTGGCTGGAGCTGAACTGATCTGAAGCCAGGAGCCAGGAGCTTCTTCCAGATCTCCCACAAGGGTGCAGGGTCCGAAGGCTTTGGGCCATCCTATACTGCTTTCCCAGGCCACAAACAGGGAGCTGGATGGGAAGTGGGGTCACCAGGATTAGAACTGGCACCCTTATGGGATCCTGGCACATGTAAGGCGAGGACTTTAGCCATGAGATTACTGTGCCAGGCCCACGACTAATATTTTAAATATGTATACTTCTATCAGATTTGAACCAAAAATTGGAATCTTGCCTATCTCTCTTTATTTACAACAGCTAATAAACATCTTACCAGATCATTAAAAAAATAAGTTTAGTGACTTCTTAGGATTTCATCATGACCATATTATAGTGTATTTAATCACTTTGTTTTAGGTTGAATTGCCTTTTTCACTATATAACTAATGTGATAACTACTTCTTTACATAAACATTTTGCACATCTCTGATTTCTTCAAATAATTTTTAAAGCATTTTTAAAAAAGATTTATTTCTCTTTATTTGAAACACAGATTTTACAGAGAGCAGGAGCAACAGAGAGGTCTTCCATCCACGGCTTCATTCCCCAAATGACTACAATGGCCAGAGCTGAGTCTATCTGAAACCAGGAGGTTCTTCCAGGTCTTTTGTGCTGGTGAAGGGCCTCAAGGCCTTGAGCCATCCACCACTGCTTTCCCAGGTCATAAACAGGGAACTGGATCAGAAGTGGAGCCACCGGGATTTGAACCAGTGCACCGTAGAAGATGCTAGTGCCGTAGGCAGAGGATTAGCCTGTTAAGTGACTGTGTCCCTTAGAACATAACTTTAGGCTAAAAGGTAAATTCTTTTTTAAAACACATGTTTTCTGTTTCATTTTGTTTGAAAGACATATCTACTATCTATCTATCTATCTATCTATCTATCTATCTATCTATCTATCTATCTATGTATCTTTCATATATATACGGAGAGAGAGAAAGAGAGAGTTCTTCCATCCACTGGTTCTCTCACCAAATGCCCAGAAAGAAGAGGAAGATGGACCAGGTCCTTGGTCCCCTGCCACCCATGTGGAACCCAGAGGGGGCCCCTGGCTCCTAGCTTCAGACCAGCCCAGGTCCAACCATTGCAGCCATTTCGGGGAGAGACCAGAAGATAGATGATACTTCCCTCTGTCTCTGTCACTCTGCCTCCAAATAAATAAAATAATCTCTAAAAAAATGAAATACAGACATGAAAAGCCAAAAGAGAAATTTGATCTGATTCCTGGCTTTGCTGTAGGCCACCTGCCAAGCTGCTGTCTGCCCACCGTCCCTCCATTCACTGGGACAGGAGTCTTGCTTCTAGTGTGTCCCATATACAATGCACAGAGCCGCAGACAGCACATGGACCCTGTTCCCTGGATTCTTGAGTCAATGTCACAGGCTTCATTTTGGTTCTAGTAGCATGCTTGAGGATGCTGTAGTTTACAGTGCAGCAGGTGCATCAGCCAAGAGAGCAGAGAGCCTGAGCCACATTCCTCCCACTCTCCGTGGGAACCGACTGTGGGGAAGCCCAGGGCTTCCCAGAGACACAGACATTGTGAGGTCCCTTGGCCAGTGCCTACAGCCCCCAGCATGTGCAACTTATCAGAGACTTGTATTCACCCAGACTGGTCTACAATCTGCTCAGCACCATGAGGCACGGGTCACACATGCCTGGGCCTGTCTGAAGTCACTGCTCTCTCGTCACAAACCAGCACCACCCTAGAACAGCACTACCTAGAATGTGGGCTCTGGGATTTAGGGCTTGGGTGTCAATGCTACCTCTCTTACCACATGCTGCTTGGAAAGTGACTTATCCTCACCTGTCTATAAAAGGGAGGCTGGAATGGAACACATCTGAAAGGACTATGTGGGCAAAACACATGATGTTACGAAGTGAGCTGGCATACAGTAAGCATATAATAGATGCTCTTAATTGGGGATCCTCCAAGCCCTGCCTTGTGAGGTTAGCAGGAGTATTGGTAATGGATACCTCCAGAGATATTCAACTCCCTTGATTTGTCATAGGGTGTTATTACTTTCTGCACTCTCATTTTAATGTGCCAGCATCATCCCCTTTACTCTAATCCTCAATTTTTTTTCTTAAACATTTATTTATTTTTATTGGAAAGGCAGATTTATAGAGAGAAGGAAAGACAGAAAGAAAGGTCATCCATCTGCTGGTTCACTCC